ATATTAATAATATCCGTCGAGAAAATCGCGTTGTAATTTATTATGACTGAAGAAAGAGACACGGGGTCTTTGCAGGAATTATGGGAAAAATATCTTGGGAGAAATAAATTAAAGAGAGAAAAAGAGACATAATGGAAGAAGAAATGGGAGAGAATGAACGAAAGAGTGAACATTAAATGGTGGCGAAGAAGAGGATAGAATAAGTAAGGAGGATAGAATAAGTAAAAATAAGAAGAAATAAAACGAAAGGGAAGACGAAACGGGGATAGAAAGACAAGGGTGTGAAAAACTGAGGACATGCTATTGAAAGAAGAATCGTAAGAAAAATGAATAAAAGAAGAGGAAAATGGGAAGAAGAAGAAGAAGAAGAAGAAGAAGAAGAAGAAGAACAACAACAACAACAACAACAACAACAAGAAACGGGAGAGAATGTAGAAAGGTGAACAATAAACGGGGTGAAGAAAGAAGGAAGACGGTAAATAGAATAAACATGGAGAAGAAAAAGAACAAGCAGAAAAAGGAAAAAGTAGAAGAAATTGAACAAAAAAAATGAGAGTAGAAAAAAAGAAGATTATAAAAAAAAGGAACAGAACAACCGAGTGATGAAGAAGAAGAAGAAGAAGAAGAAGAAGAAGAAGAAGAAGAAGAAGAAGAAGAAGAAGAAATAAAGGGAAAATGTAGACGAAATTGAAGAATAAAAAATGGCAGGAATGAAAAAGGGAGTAAAAACTGGGAAGGAGAATCATCAAAAGAAGAAACCAGAGAAAAAGTGTGGAAGAAAATGAACAATAAAATGAGCGATGAAAGCGACGACAACGACGAAGAAGAAGAAGAAGAAGAAGAAGAAGAAGAAGAAGAAGAAGAAGAAGAAGAGGAAACAATGGGAAAAGTAGACGAAAGCGAACAATAAAATGAGAGATGAAAGCGGAAAAAAATGATGATGATGATGATGATGATAAACAACTTCGGAAATTTGACTTTTTTATAAAATTATAGGTGTTTGACGTTTGCCTCCATACAATACGCTATCACTTCTGCAAACCGCAGCTTTCCGTAAAGCGAATTAGTGATAAGTTTTGCTTTTGGTGCTAATACTTAAAACGGTGCGCGTCGTACTACTATTATTACATGTTGCACCTCTACCTGTCAGGTGTACCTCTATGGCTTAAAAGATATAATGTTTTGTTTTTTGGGGTTTTTTTTTTTTTGTTTCTTTTGTTGTTTTTTTGCTTCTTTATTATATTGCGATTTAGGGGATTGTGAAAATGTCAAAAAGAAACTTATTTAGAAACTAAAAGTGCGCTTCTAATTCTATAACTTATCTTCACCTACTTCGTTTATCAATTCATTGCTCGACAAAATTAACTGTAATATTATTGATAGACTTAAACCCATGTAGTGTAAATATTTAATAGGTTTGCCGTGGAGCTATTAATATGTTTGATGTTATTCGTGTATAGTATTACTACACTTGGCTTCTTAAAAACTTGTATTCAGGATTGGCTACGTCAGGACGTGGGCGATCATGGCTCTCCACAACTTCCTGTCCTTTGCAGCTATTTCTCCTAAGCCCTTTTCCGCCATGTATTTATTCATATTTATTTATCCGATATCAGATAACAGTGAAGAACTCTTTTCTTTTTTCCAACGAAATTATCTTGTTTCCTAATATTTGATATTTTGGGATGTATCTTTCGCTACTCCAATACACTATCGGATTTTATTGCCGCATTTTCCGTCTTCTGTTCAAACACTTCTTTCTTTTTTTATGTGCCGAGTCCCCTCAAGACGTAGGCGATCTTGGCCCTCTACATCGTCCTGTCGCTTATAGCGCTTATTATTTTTAATTTCTCGCAAACTCTATTCTTCTAACCATTTACTTATGCTCCTCAACTACCTTACGCGCTGCTTTCCTCTCACCCTCTTTTCCTCAATCTGTCCTGTGAGTATCAGATTTGCCAAGCTTTCTTTCCTCACTACGTACGGCAGAATTTTCAAATGTCTCTTTCTGATGTTAATTATAAGTTTCCTTTTCGTTTCCATTTTCTCTAAAAATTCACCGTTGTTCAAATGTTCGCTCCATGGCGTCCTCACATCTTATTTCTGTTGCTGCAAGTCTCATCAGGAGACTGTCCAGTACTTGCTGCCATATAGAAGGATAGATATCACGTAACAGTTCAATACTCTTTTCTTTGTTTCTAATTAAATTTTTCTGTATCTTAATACTCTGCTTAGCTTTTGTAATGCATCTTTAACCATCCCAATACGTCTTCGGATCTCAGTACCACACTTTCCGTCCTCTGCTAGAACTCTTCCCAGATATTCAAATTTTTGTACGTGTTTGATTTTAGAATCCCTGATTTGTAATTTGCATTTTGGGTAGTCCCTTTTGCTGATAGATTATTAAATTTTTGTATTTACTTAATTTTTGGCTAGCCTGTTGAGTTGTTCCTCTTGCTGGCAACTATATATTCCGTCTTCTTACAAGTGATGTTTAGTCCTTTCTTCACGCTTTCCTTTGCTACGAGTTCTTGGAGTTGCCTTTTTGTGCCTGCTATCAATAATGTGTCATATGTGCCTCATTATCACTATTATCGCTATCATTATCATCATTGTTATTATTACTATCATCTTACGATATTATTACTATACGATTACAATTCATATGCTATAACTATCACTAAAATTACTGTCTTATCAATTGATATTGAAATGAGTCAGCCATATTCTTGTAGTGGACTTTTTAATACTCTATCAGAAGGTACATACGTGTTCCTAATTTCACAACACGTAAACCTACGGACCGCTAAAATAGTTTATTAACTATTTAACTATATACTATTTAACTATTTAGCGATTAAATATACTATTATTATATTATAATATACTCGTATATTATATATTCACTAGTATATTATATATTATATTCACTATTATATACTATTATTATATACTATTATAATTACTATCATATTATATACTATATATATTCACTATTATATACTATTATTATATACTTTTATAATTTCTATCATATTATATACTATTACTATATACTATTATAATTAGTATCATATTATATACTATTATAATTAGTATCATATTATATATTATTATATACTATTATAATTAGTATCATATTATATATTATTACTATATACTATTATAATTAATATCATATTATATACTATATATATTCACTATTATATACTATTATTACATACTATCATAATTACTATCATATTATATACTATATATATTCACTATTATATACTATATTCACTAGTATAATTTACTAGTATATTAGCATAAAATAATATTATAATGTTTTTTAATATAATACTATATTATAATATACTATACTATAATTTGTGTGACCCGTGTGGGTGAATGTTAATGATGAAGTACAACTCAAGACTTCAATGTTAAATAAACAGTATTTAAACACAACTGCAAAGAAATATGTAAAACAAATATAAGTGTAGAGTCAATCAACTTATTAACAAATTCATTGAATACCTTTTAGTAACGTGGCTCTGCATAAAGTCCAATAGTCACTCGTTAGTCACTCAATAATCAACAGTTAATTAACTAGTGAGCCACTCGTAATCAATTATTCATCGACTGTACTCCGACCAATAGTCTCCTTCAGTCAGTAGCCTGACACCGCTATTTATACACCTGGGGGAAAGCATATTTATAAGATCAGAGTGTTACGCTCGAACCTCGGTGTCGGCAGCTAACATTTTCTTCCTATATGACAATAATATATATATATTATATAATAATATACTAGTATATTAAATATACTATTTAACTATATACTACTTAACTATTTGTTAAAATTACTATCACGTTTACTGGGGTAGACTGTTCTAGTTCCACGTGCCATGTCTAATGGATGTCAGTTATCAGTTATCTCCTGTAAATTCCCCTCTCCAAGTTCTCCACTGCCTGAACCAGGTATTGAACTCACAATGGTTGTGTTATGACACTGCATCAAACTAACACATGACACAGTGGATAGTGGCGTTAGTTAGATCCAGTGACAGAACCCAAAGAGTTGTGAGTTCAATACCTGGTTAAGGCAGTGGAGAACTTGGAGAAAGGAATTGTCAGGAGATTGATAACTGACATCCATTAGACATGGGACGTGAAACTAGAACAGTCTACCCCAGTGAGCGAAATAAAGGGTTCAGTTCGACATTCCAACCACCGGAAGAAGACCGGAGCGTACAATGGCCGAAACGTCGTGATAAATATGGCAACAAAGATGAGGACGATAGTCTGACCATTGTAAATAGTGTACATAATACCTCATCTCAAAAATATAGATACTATCATCGTACTATAATTTACTATTACTGTAGTATTACTATCCCTACTCTATTACTATACTATTATTAATCTCACTATCATTATTAACATTATCATTATTATCACTTCCATATTCTCACAATTCTCATATATATATATATATATATATATATATATATATATATATATATATATATATATCATCACACTGTATCTGATGTTGTTAAGATTGTGTGCGCCTAATAATAAATCTTGGTATGAATTCTAGTTTTCCCCGGATCGAAACACTTTAAAGGGGGAATAAATCCAGTGAGAAGATGCATACTTACCTTGTGCCCCTTTCCAGTTCTGTGTATAAATAAAATGCATTTTATATCCCAACGTAGGAGATTTGCTCCTAGTATAAGTACTGGGTTATTCTAATATATTTCCCAAATAAATCAAGCTCATCTAGTGGTTCAGATCTTTTGTCCCGAGCAGATTTTATAATCTTTATCGGAATTTTGGGATGAGGAACTACAATTATTATACGCTTTGCTCTGTGAAACAATATGTTCATCTTGTTTGTTATACCCACGACCTTTCGACTTTTATATTTTCTGAAATTCTTCAGGTCTCAGTCTACGTACTTGATAACTTTCTTAGAATTTTGAACCGAAATTGAAATTTTATACTTAGGAGTCTTGCGGTCATATCACGTCGAAAAACATGTTCCTGTCCGATCACCGAAGTTAAGCAATGCCGAGTCTGGTCAGTACCTAAATGGGTGACCGTTATGAATACCAGCAGCTGAAATCTTGGATGTGCGGGTGGTATAATGGATAATGGCTCGGAATTGGAAATTGAAAACCTGTGGTTCATATTTTCTGGCTTTAAATAACCAGATAAAGGTTGATAAGTCGTAAAAAGCAAAATAATCAATCACCCCCTGGTTAAGAGATATTTCTTATCAGTTAATTATCGCCAGTGTGGTATCATTCGGTTGTAGAAAGCAGATGATTAGCCGACATGTCTTCGCTTCGACCCTGAAAAGGAAAGCAAGTGGATTTTACAAAAGCTGTCTTCACTCATGCGTCCGAAACGTCTTCCTGTAAGAGGCTGTGTCTAAACACACCAGAAATGCATTTCACTCACAGGTCTCTAATCGAAGATTGCTCTGGCTGAAACGGCAGGGTCCCGCTGATTGGCCGTTAAGAGTTAAATGACCGGCCAAGCATGCTGCATATTAATTGGCTAAGAAGAAAGAAACTTAACCCTACGTCTGAAGTTTAAAGTAATTTGTGATTGAAATGTGTTATTTATTAGCGGAAGCCAGAAATCAACGCTCGTACTTAGTAAAAAATTAAAAAAAAAAACATACGAGTTTTCGACTAATGATTTTGTAGACAGATCGATGCAACACGATCTTCCTAATTATTTATTGTTTATAAAATGGATATTTTTTTTTACCTGTTTATTTTCTCTATTCTTCTATACAACCTACTTAGTTTAGTTTCGTGAATACAGAAATGTTTTGCCGCTAGGGATCCAAGACAGTAATAGCAGAACCAAAATAAAAATTTAAAAAAATGCTGCAAGAACAATATCAGGAGAAGAATTGGTACCTGAACGAAAGTCTTGGAGACTGAAGATGAAGAAGATTTCTCCGCATGAAATTGTCACAATGATTGAATTGGGTTTTCTCTCCTACTGCTCAGAATGGCTAATTTCCTTGGGACACGCCAAACACAATCGATCCGAAACATGGTAATTCTGGAGAAAAAGTTCCTTTTTCCCGCTCTTTTTTTATTTCCATTTTCTACCATCCACGTTTCTTTCACGGGATGATGATAGTTATTTATATACACTTTTTAGATAATGTTTCCATCTTATTTGGAAGTGGGTGCCGAAAAAGTCTACTACAAGGGAATAGTGAAAAGTTCTTGGCCTGACTATGAAGAGAGATTTTGGTCATTTTATAAGATTTTTGAAAAATGAGAGAAACTGAGCAATTTCCCACCCATACCTTGTCAATTATTTCTTGCTTTACGTTCTTTTTCCTTTTTTTTCTTTTTCCTTTTTTTCTTTTTCCTTTTTTTTTCTTTCCCCTTTTTTTCTTTTTCCTTTTTTTCCATTCTTTTTTTTCTTTTATTCTGCTTTTTAGTCAGTTTATTTCTTATCAGTTATACTTTCTTTCCTTGTACTTCCTTCTTTACTCCTTTTCTATTTCTCTTTCGTTGTTGGTAATCCACAATTGTTGATAGCTAACTAGGATGGGCCATTCTGGGTGGACGTGTCGGCTACATGAATAAACAATGGCTAAACTACTTAAGTCATATGAATTGTGCAAGCTGACTCCGTGGAGAAGATGCCTGCGTTTACTTTTTTTTTTAATCTCGTTTTCTTTTTCTTTTTTTTTTTAATCCTACTTTCATTCATACATCGTTTATTTTTTCTTTCTTTTTTTATTTGCGTTTTCATTTTTCTTTTTCCTATTCATTTTCTCCTTTCTTTTCCCTTTTTACCCTTACATTTTGCAGTGCACCTTATTTCTTTCTTGTATTTGTTCATTTTTTTTTTATTTCATTCTCTCCTGTCATTTTTATGCTTTGCACTTTTTTTGTTTTTCTTTGTTTTGCACCCGTATTCTTTCTTTCTTTCTTTCTTTCTTTATTTATTTATTTATTTTTTTATGACGTTCTTTCTTTTTTTCTTTTTTATTACGTTCTTTCTTTCTTTCTTTCTGACGTTCTTTCATTATTTTTTTTTCTGACGTTTTTTCTTTCATTCTGACCTTCTTTCTTGCTTTACTCTGACGTTTTCTTTCTTTTTTTTCTGACGTTCCTTCTTTCTTTCTCTCTGACCTTTTTTCTTTCTTTCTTTATCTGATGTTCTTTCTTTCTTTCTAACATTCTTTCTTTCTTTTTTTCTGACGTTCTTCCTTGCTTGCTTTCGTTCGTTATTCTTTCCTTCCTTCTTTCTACCTCTTTTCTGACGTTCTTTCTTTATTTATTTCTGCCGTTCTTTCTTGCTCTCTTTATCTGTTGTTTATTCTTTCTTTTTGACATTCGTTCTTTCTTTTTTTTTCTGACGTTCCTTCTTTCTTTCTCTCTGGCGTTCTTTCTTTCTTTCTTTCTTTATCTGATGTTCGTTCTTTCTTTCTAACATTCTTTCTTTCTTTTTTTCTGACGTTCTTTCTTGCTTGCTTTCTTCCGTTATTCTTTCTTCCCTTTTTCTTTCTCTTTTCTGTCGTTCTTTCTTTCTTTCTGGCGTTCTTTCTTTCTCTCTTTTTCTGATGTGCTTTCTTTCTCTCTGACATTCTTTCTTTCTTTTTTTCTGACGTTCTCTTGTTCTTGCCTTTTTCATTCTTTCTCTCCGTCTTTTTTTCATTCTTTCTCTTCGTCTCTTTTCTTTCTTTCTAACGTTCTTTCGTTCATTATTTCTTTCTTTTTTCTTTCTGACGTACTTTCTTTCTATCTAAAGTTCGTTCGTTCATTGTTTCTTTCTCTGTGTCTAACATCCTTTCTTTCTTTGTTTTTAACTTTCTATCATTATTTCTCTCTAACGTTATTTCTTTCTTTCTTTTATATTTCTTTCTTACTCTTTCTTTCTTTTTTCTTTCTGCCTGTCTGACGTTTTTTCATACCCTATCTTTTTTTCTTTCTTTCTTACATTCTATAATTCTTTTTATACGCCTGTTTTACGTTCTTTTTTCTTTCTGTTGTGGTAGGATCCACCTAATGTGCATAGTGGAGTACCGACCATATAAATATGGTTGGTACCGGGAAGAGAGGGAGGAATCAAGAGATTCAACCAGAGACTCTGCCCGACTGCGACTCAGTCAACCCATTCTCCAGGAACGGTCTTACCAGGAATATGCAAAAGACTATATGTAAATATTGTGTACACTTTCTTGTTTCAATACTATTTGTTCTAAGTACATTTTGTGTTGCATTATTATTCCATGCATTAGTCAAGTTTCAACAATGGCGACGAGGTAGAAAGAACTATACGAAAAAAAAAAGAATTGATAATTGATAGCCTTCAACAATTGGGACAAGTCATTGAAGAACCCAGGCTGAAGGAAAAAATTATTAATTAAAAGTCCAACATCTAATGGAACGGCGAAGGATTCTGAAGTTCTGGATATTTAGAACTCGTTAAAGGACGACTAAGCATAAAGGAAGGTTCACTCAGAAAATTTTGAAAGGTGTCGTAAACGAATAACAGTGATTTAAAAAAAAAAAAGAAAAAAAAACGGGCCGACTACAAAAACATGCACGGATTTAAAAGGCGCACAAATACATCGTGTCGACTTTGAAAGGTAACGAACTTAAAAAAAAAAAAAAATATTTAATAAAGCAATACATAAAATAAAAAAGTCGTAAGTTGTTTAGATTTTTCTTGTCAGATTATATTATATCCGTGGATACACAAATTAAAAGTATATACTTTGTTGCATGAACACTATTAGCAAAAGATGGATGAATTATCCAAAGTCATATCTGATTTATTCAAATGCCAGCAGGTGAGTCAGCAACGTCAAAGTGAACAGTTTGCCTTATTAATAAGGGAACAACAGACAGCACAGCAAAAATAACAAGAAAAGCAAGAGGAAAGACAGCAAAAATATCAAGAAAAGCAAAAGGAAAGACTGGGAAAACAGGAAGAGATGCAGATCAAGGTTTTAGAAATTCAAAAGTTAACACTGGAGAAATTAAACAAAAATCAGGCAAATGAAGAAAATTATTCATATTCTTATAACATCATATTTAATTCGCTGGAAACTTTCAACTATGTGCCAGACGAAGGAAAAACGTTTGAAGCGTACTTTAAACGATATGAATATATTTTCTGCACAGACTGTGAAAACTGGTCGAATTCAAGAAAAATCAGTCTATTACTAAGAAAGCTAGGTACAGCAGAACATAGCAAATTTGTAGATTTTATTCTACCGAGAAGGACGAATGAATTGGAATTCTCGGAAACAGTGAAATTGCTAAAGGAGTTGTTTGGAGCAAATATGTCGCTTTGGCATAAGCGATGGTTATGCATGAATGTCGTTAAATCCGACGATCAGGATTACTTAACATATGCATCTATAGTGAATAGACATTGTGACAATTTCAGATTGGCAGAGATTACGGTTGAAGAATTCAAGTGTTTAATTTTTGCTCAAGGACAGGTATCCAGTAAGAGTGCCGAAATAAGACGTAGAGTTTTGGCTAAACTCGAATCTGAACAAAACCTTACCCTACAAAAGTTAGCAGAGGAGTGTCAGCGGGCCGTAAGTTTAAAGAAAGAATCTCAAAAAATCGAAAAAGCTGGCATTGCTTATATTAAAAAAATAAAAAAAAACAGTCAAATTACCCATCATCAAAAAACTGGAGTAAAAATTCGGCGTATTTTAAAAATAGACAAGAAAAATTAAAGGAAAAGAATGAGGAGGGAAAAAAAATGGTTCCGCCATTTAATTGTAGACGTTGCAACGAAAGACACTGGGAGGTAAATTGCCCATATAGAAATAGGAAATGTTTTGTGTGCCACAAGAATGGACACAAAGGAACGTGTTGTAAAACGAAAAAAGTCAATAGCCGAATTAGACAAACAAATTCAAATATAAAATCAGATAGAAATTTGAGGAAATATGTGACGACTGAAATATTTTTTAAAAATATCAAATTTCAACTCGATTCGGGTTCAGATTTAACAATAATGAACTATAAAGCATGGAAAATTTTAAAAAGGCCTACAATAATGAAGTCAACGAAATGCGCTCGAACGGTAACTGGAAAGGAAATTAACTTCGAAGGCG